CGCGAAGCGCGTACGTGGAGTGCCAGAGTCTGGCGGGGACACCATGCGGGCGGTGCCACTGGGGCCTTCGGTAGAGCTCCCTTTGGGGCCACGAAGGGTGGGGGCCACGAAACGTGTGAGGGGTGTGCCGAAATTGCTGGTGGGACCGCATGCGGGCGCTGCCCCTGGAGCTTTAGTTTGAGCTCCGTATGGCATAGTCCTATCGGGCCACGGAACGTGTGAGGGGGGTCGCCGACATGGAAGATGGAACCCCATGCAGGCGTTGCCTCTCGGTGGAGCTCCCTATCGGGTCATGAAGCGTGCGAGGGATGCACCGACATGGTGGTGGAACTGCATGCGGGCGCTGCCACTGGGGCCTTGGGTGGAGCTTCCCATGGGGCTACGAGGGTGGAATTTGCATGCGGGCGCCGCCACTCGAGCCTTCGGTGGAGCTCTCTCTCTCTGGGGCAGCGAAACGTGTGAGGTGTGTGCCGAAATGAGTGTGGAACTGCAGGCGGGCGCTGCCACTGGGGCCTTCGATGGAGCTCCCTATAAGGCCACAAAGCGTGTGACGGGTATGCCGAAATGGAGGGTGGAGCTGCATGCGGGCGCTGTAACTGGGGCCTTTGGTGGGGCTACCAGTGGGGTCACGAAGCGTGTGAGGGGTGTGCCGAAATTGGGGTGGAACTGCATGTGGGCGCTGCCACTGGAGCTTTAAGTGGAGCTCCCGATGGGGCCACGGAACGTGTGAGGGGTGTGCCACGTGTGCCAACATGGAGAGTGGAACCGCATGCGGGCACTGCCACTGGACCCCTTCGGTGGAGCTCTCTTTGGGACAGCGAAACGTGTGAGGGGTATGCCGCAATGGGGGTAGAACTGCATGCGGGCGCTGCCCCTGGAGTCTTCGGTGGAGCCCCCTATGGGGCCACGAAACGTGTGATGGGGTGTGCCGTATTCGGGCTGGAACTGCATGCGGGCACTGCCCCTGTATCTTTCGGTGGAACTCAGGTCACGGAACGTGTGAAGGGTGTGCCGGAATGGGAGGTGCCACTGGGGCCTTCGGTGGGGCTTCCCATGGGGCCACGAAACGTGTGAGGGGTGCACTGGCACGGGGGTGGAACTGCACGCGGGCGCTGCCACTGGGTTGAGCTTCCTAAACGTGAGAGGGGTGGTACGCCGACATGAGGGCAGTGGCACAGATGGGAGACGGGATGAAATCGGAGGAGGGAGGAAGGGAAGGAGGATGGGAGAGGAGGAGTAGGAGGAGAACGCGGGGCGTTATCTCGTCAAAACGAGGACCTAACACCACAGGATGATTGGGACACACTGCAAGAGATTCGCGGATTGAGGGCAGGTCGGTTTCAAAATGTGGCTCTCGCCCGAACGCCGCATGCAGCCGGTGTAAACAATTGCAACAATTTCACGGGTTGAAGGCGGTTCCTTTTCAAACTGTGGTTCTCGCCTAAGCGCCGCAAACATTGGTCTTAAACAACTGGAAACAATGTTCACGCATTCCCATGGTCAACGTACCAGGACTGGTTTTCTGGAAGTGCTCCGGATTGTGAGGGCGTAATTGTTACGTCGATTCGCTGTGTTGAAGTCCCAGGAATGGTGTTTTGGCACGGTTCAGAATGGTCAAGTCGCAACAATCATGTGATCTGGAATCTCGAGAATGGCGTGTTGGCACGCTGCAGGGTCTTCAAGTCCCCAAACGAGGCAGTTCCTTCAGTGCAGATGAACCCTTGTGGGGTCCTATGAAGAGGGATCTGGGAGGGAGAGCTTATTCCAATATCGCTGATGGGTCTTGGGTTTGCAATGGTCCTCCTCCTCCTTCCCCACATCATCAGCATCATCATAATCATAAGCATCATCATCATCATCATCCAGAATTCTTTTACCTTATAAATGACTCCTCCATGCCGCACCCCGAGGCCAGTCGGAAGGGCTGGCCGGGCGTTTCGCCTGAGATTTCCTCACTATGTTCGGTCCTGGAACGTAGGATCAGGCAACATTTTTGCAAATGGAGCGCGGGTGGTTTTCAACATGTGCCTCTCGCCTTAGCGCCGCGCGCATTCGTCGTAAAACTTGCAGGCGTTATTATGGCGAAGGACCCAACCATTTGCAGTTACGGGTATCGACTTCGGGAATCCTCTCATGGGGCCATGAAGCATGCGAAAGGTGTGCCGATGTGGGATAGTGCCGCCATGTGGGCGCTGCGACCAGGGTGTTTTTTGTTTCAACGAAAGAATGCGGAACGCACTACGGGGCCGCGAAAAGTGCGAGGGGTGCGCCGCAATGGGGCGGGGCCGCCACTGGGGCCTTCGGTGGAGCTCCCTCTAGGGCAACGAAACGCCACATTGTACTGGGTGTGGTGGCGAATGCGGGCGGTGCCACTGGGGCCATCGGTGGAGCCCCCTCTGGGGCCACGAATCGGTGTACTGGGTGGGGGTGACGCATGCGGGCGGTGCCACTGGGGCCTTCGGTGGAGCCCCCTATGGGACCCCGAAGCGCTGTACTGGGTTGGAAAAAGCGCATGCGGGCGGTGCCAGTAGAGCCTTCGGTGGGGCACCCTATGGGGCCACGAAGCGCTGTACGAGATGCGGGAACCGCATGCGGGCGGTGCAGCTGGGGCCTTCGGTGGAGCTCCTTTATGGGGCCACGAAGCGAGGTACTGGGTGGGGGGTGCGCATGCGGGCGGTGCCACTGGGGCCTTCGGTGGGGACCACGAGACGCTGTACTGCGTGGGGGTGGTGCATGCAGGCGGTGCCTCTGGAGCCTCCTCTGTGGCCACGAAGTGCTGTACTAGGTGGGGGTGACGCATGCGGGAGGTGCCACTGGTGCCTTCGTTAATGCTGTCGATGGGGCCACGAAGCGCTGTACTGGGTGGGGGTTGCGCATGCGGGCGGTGCCACTGGGGCCTTCGGTGGAGCTCCCTACGGGGCCACGGGTCGCTGTACTGGGTGGGGGTGACGCATGCGGGCGGTGCCACTGGGGCCTTCGGTGGAACTCCCTATGGGGCGACGGAGCGCTGTACTGGGTGTGGGTGAGTGATGAGGCTGATGCTGAGGTTGATGGAGGAGGGAGGAGGGGGGGGGAGGAGGAAGGAGTGAGGGACGCGGGGCGCTGTCTCTTCACGACAAAGACCCAACACCACAAGATTGTTGGGAATTTCACGGATTGAGGGCGGGTCGTTTTCGACATGTGGCTCTCGCCTTAGCGCCGCGCGCACTCGCCTAAACAAATTGCAGGAGCTTCACATGTTGAGGGCGGGTGGAGGAGAAGGAGGAGGAGGAGGAGGAGGAGGAGGAGGAGGAGGAGGACGAGGAGGAGGAGGAGGAGGAGGAGGAGAGGAACGCGGGGCACTGTGTCTTCAAAGCGAGGACCCAATACAGCAGGATGGTTGTGAACAGTGGTAGGAGTTTCACGGAGTTCCTAGGTCAGCGTATCTCAGAAATGTTTGATTTGACGGATTCAATCTACTCAGGGCGCAACAGTTGCGTTGATTTGCGGTGGTGAAGTTGCAGGAGAGGAGTCCTGGTACGGTTCATGACCGTCAAGAAGCAGGTGTCAGGTTGATGTGTGGCGCTGGAATCAGGAGAATGGTGTTTTAGCACGTTTCAGGATCTTCAAACGGTCGTCTCCCAACGGGGTACTTCCCTCGGTGAAAATGAATCCTTGCAGGGGCATATGGAGAGGGAGCTTGGAGAGAGGCGATATTCCGACATCGTTGATGAGTCTTGGGTTTGTACTGCTCCTCCTCCTCCTCCTCCTCCTCCTCCTCCTCCTCCTCCTCCTCCTCCTCCTCCTCCTCCCCTCCCCCTCCCCCTCCCCCTCCTCCTCCTCCTCCTCCCTCCTCCTCCTCCTCCTCCTCCTCCTCCTCCTCCTCCTCGTCCTCCTCCTCCTCGTCCTCGTCTCCTCCCCCTCCCCTCCCTCCCCCTCCCCCTCCCCCTCCCCCTCCCCTCCCCCTCCCCCTCCCCTCCTCCCCCTCCTCCCCCTCCTCCTCTCCTCCTCCTCCTCCTCCTCCTCCTCCCTCCTCCTCCTCCTCCTCCTCCTCCTCCTCCCTCCTCCTCCTCCTCCTCCTCCTCCTCCTCCTCCTCCTCCTCCTCCACCTCCTCCTCCTCCTCCTCCTCCGCCTCCGCCTCCGCCTCCGCCTCCGCCTCCGCCTCGCCCTCCCCCTCCCCCTCCCCCTCCCCCTCCCCCTCCCCTCCCCTCCCCCCTCCCCCCCCCCCTCCCCCTCCCCCTCCCCCTCCCCCTCCCCCTCCCCCTCTCCCTCTCCCTCCCCTCATCCCCCTCCCCCTCCCCCCTCCTCTCCTCTCCTCCTCCTCCTCCTCCTCCTCCTCCTCCTCCTCCTCCTCCTCCTCCTCCTTCCTCCTCCTCTCCTCCTCCTCCTCCTCCTCCCCCTCCTCCCCCCTCCCCTCCTCCCCCTCCTCTTTTCCGCCTCCTCCTCCTCCTCCTCCTCCTCCTCCGCCCTCCGCCTCCGCCTCCGCCTCCGCCTCCGCCTCCGCCTCCGCCTCCGCCTCCGCCTCCGCCTCCGCCTCCGCCTCCGCCTCTCCTCCGCCTCCTCCTCCTCCTCCTCTTCCTCTCCTCCTCCTCCTCCTCCTCCTCCTCCTCCTCCTCCTCCTCCTCCGCTTCGCCTCCTCCGCCTCCCCGCCTCCTCCTCCTCCTCCTCCTCCTCCCTCCTCCTCCTCCTCCTCCTCCTCCTCCTCCCTCTCTATTCTCTCTTGGGGAGTGGGGTCAGCCGCGGCTTGTGCGCAAGGGACGCCGTGAGCAGAGGGTCCTCAGGACCAGACAGTCGTGCCCACGCGCCCTGTCGCACCGTGCTGGGCCGACTGAGCTATCGGGCACATCTCGGCGACCAATGGGCGATCGGATGTCGATGCATCATCCCCCTGAGGCTCCCCCCCATAACATGGCCTGTGGAGAAGGAAGGAGAAGCGAGGTGCAGGCAGACCCGAGAAGTACTGAAGGACCGACTGCCAGAGGTCTCCTGGTCGGCCAGCCAAAATCCGTAGACCGTCGCTTCAGATGATCTCCAGGGAGCCCAGGACCCAGAAGGCCAGGTAGATGAACGAGGGGCCGAACAAGAAGGCGGCAAGCAAGGGCGGGTTGGGGGCGCCCAGGGGGACCTCTCGGCGGCGAGCACAAAGGGGGTGGGGCAATGGGGGCGGCCTCGTGTGAAGACAGAGGGGGCGTCTCAGAAGGGGTCCGCCCTCTCAAAAGCCGAACGACGCCCCCAGCCCTCGAGGAGGCGGGGGGCGGGGGCGTCTGATCTAAGGCCCCCCCCCCTCCCCCTGCCGCCCCATTGCGTGCGCCGCCGAACCTCGTCGAGGTCGAACTCGTCCGAGGGGTTGATGTAGACCTTGTCCCCCCTGACCTTGAAGGGCTTCACGGGGGCGGCCTCGGAGTCCGCGGGCTTCACGGCCTTTGGGGCCGCCTCGAAATTGTTGGGGATGCTGAAGCTCGGCAGGGAGATGCTGAAGCCGCCGCCGGACTCCTGCGCCGCCGCCGGCGCCGCCGCCACCCTCTCCTCCTTCTTCGCCTCGTTCACTTGTGCCTCGCGCTTCTTCTTTTTCCTGGAGATCTTGCCCGCGATGGTGCTCTGGCTGTCCTGGGCCTCATCATCCGCGCGCACCGGGCTGGCCACCATCGTCACCGCCAGGCCGAGGGTGGCGGCGCAGACCGCCAGGCCGACCAGCGGGCGGGAGGCCTCCTGGGCGCCCTCCTCGAGCGGCGCGGGAAAGCGCTGCAGCTCGATGCCGCCGCGGAGGGACTGCTGGCTCGCAGCGCTGCGAGCGCCTGGCGAGACGAAGCACCTCGCGGCGTAGGCCCAGCCCGCGAGAGCGACGCCCAGCGCCGCGTGGCCAGCGGCCTGGCTCCTGCGAGCGGGCGCCATCGGTCGACAGGGCGCGGTGGACGGGACCCCGAGGCTCGGTCTGGCTGCCGCGGCGACCCAGACAGCTGGAGCCAGACAGGCTTGAAGAGCAGTGGGGCGGGCGCCGCGTCCTGCCTCGGACGGTAGGGGGAGGGGGACGACGACGACGACGACGACGACGACGACGACGACGACGACGACGACGACGACGACCACGTCGACGACGACCACGTCGACGACGACGACGACGACCACGACGACGACGAGGAGGACGAGGACGAGGACGAGGACGACGACGACGACGAGGACGAGGACGACGACGACGACCACGACGACCACGACGACGACGACGACGACGACGTATAAAACTCGATGATGTCCTCTGCGCTGCCTTTTGCTGCTTCCCCACGGGGCGCCGGATCCGAGATGTAGTGGCCCGTTGGCCGGCTGCCTCGGAAAGCACGACGATACCCGCGGCCGAGAAACTGAAGGATGGGCCAGCCTGACGATCTCCAACTAGCCTGTCACCTGTCGGTTGCCTCGTTCTCTTGTCAGGAGTCAGGAGGAGTGGAGGAAGCTGAAATATACTTGCCGTCGCGCCGTGGCGCAGGCGGAGGCGCCCATGGCGGCTCGCAGAGCAGCGGGGCAGGACAAAAATACACCCGATTGCCAGGCGAGCGCGGTGATATAGGAGGGAGGGCCGAGGTGCAGGTCGCCAAGAGGGGTACTAGCACGGACCAGCTGCCACAGGCCACCCGGCCGGCAAGCCGCTTCAGATGATCTCCAGGGAGCCCAGGACCCAGAAGGCCAGGTAGATGAACGAGGGGCCGAACAAGAAGGCGGCAAGCAAGGGCGGGTTGGGGGCGCCCAGGGGGACCTCTCGGCGGCGAGCACAAAGGGGGTGGGGCAATGGGGGCGGCCTCGTGTGAAGACAGAGGGGGCGTCTCAGAAGGGGTCCGCCCTCTCAAAAGCCGAACGACGCCCCCAGCCCTCGAGGAGGCGGGGGGCGGGGGCGTCTGATCTAAGGCCCCCCCCCTTCCCCCTGCCGCCCCATTGCGTGCGCCGCCGAACCTCGTCGAGGTCGAACTCGTCCGAGGGGTTGATGTAGACCTTGTCCCCCCTGACCTTGAAGGGCTTCACGGGGGCGGCCTCGGAGTCCGCGGGCTTCACGGCCTTTGGGGCCGCCTCGAAATTGTTGGGGATGCTGAAGCTCGGCAGGGAGATGCTGAAGCCGCCGCCGGACTCCTGCGCCGCCGCCGGCGCCGCCGCCACCCTCTCCTCCTTCTTCGCCTCGTTCACTTGTGCCTCGCGCTTCTTCTTCTTCCTGGAGATCTTGCCCGCGATGGTGCTCTGGCTGTCCTGGGCCTCATCATCCGCGCGCACCGGGCTGGCCACCATCGTCACCGCCAGGCCGAGGGTGGCGGCGCAGACCGCCAGGCCGACCAGCGGGCGGGAGGCCTCCTGGGCGCCCTCCTCGAGCGGCGCGGGAAAGCGCTGCAGCTCGATGCCGCCGCGGAGGGACTGCTGGCTCGCAGCGCTGCGAGCGCCTGGCGAGACGAAGCACCTCGCGGCGTAGGCCCAGCCCGCGAGAGCGACGCCCAGCGCCGCGTGGCCAGCGGCCTGGCTCCTGCGAGCGGGCGCCATCGGTCGACAGGGCGCGGTGGACGGGACCCCGAGGCTCGGTCTGGCTGCCGCGGCGACCCAGACAGCTGGAGCCAGACAGGCTTGAAGAGCAGTGGGGCGGGCGCCATCCGGAGTGACAGTATCCTCGAGAGCGTGGTTCGGAGTATCAGCTTCTAGCATGCCTTAAGATTGTCTTGCGGTGGCGTCCGGGGATATCCTTTGGGGTGTCTCTCGGGCAATCTTGGAGGCCCCTGGGGCAAGGCCGAGAGGCCAGAACCAGCTCGAATACCCGCGTGTTCGGTCATTGGAGCGTCCAAGACAGCCCTGAAATCGCCCAATGTCGCCCCAAGACAGCCAACAAGCCCCCAAGAGGGGCCCAAGATGCCGCCCCAAGGCGGGCCTAAGAGGGGTAACTCGAAGTGGCCTTCGGGACCCTCCACCCCAAGATGCCCCCCCGAGACCAACTCCAGGCCCCCAAGAGGCGCACACGAGACGTCCAGGTCCCATAGAAGCCATCAGAAGGCTCCTGAGGAGGCCCGAAAGAGAAATGTGGAAGACAACGTGCGGGCGGTTGGGCCCCTGGGCAAGAACAACAGATGACGGATGCGGGTGTCCGTGTTCTCTACTCTCGACGTTCTACTGGATAATGTACTACCCCTGGTCCTCATACTGCACTTTTCACGCTGTACACTCTCCCTCTATTGATTATGCAGTTCGCGCTCGGCTCCGAAATCTGAGCTGTTCACATGTTGCCCTCTACTCGCGCCTCCCCAGTCTTAACTCTATAGCATATGTTCTTTGTACTGCGCACACTGCGCTCTGCTCCATGCTCTCTATTCTATATCATATAGCGTGTGTCCTCTGACTTTCTTTCTTTCTCTCTCTCTCTCTCATTCTCTCCCACTCCCTCTGCCGATGTTTTCGTTCGCCTCGCTCGACTCTCTGCAAGATCGACGTACTAGGCAAATTGTCTCGACTCCCTCCACTCTCTCTCTCTCTCTCTCTTCTGTCTGTTCTCTACCCCGGGAACCTGGGAACCTGGCAGCACACTGGAACGGGCGGGAGATGTTCACCAAGGCGGCACACTGTAGCCAAATCCTTGCAATGCCAGCCAGCAACCGCGCGCGCAAGCCTGTCATCGGGACCAGATCCTTACAACATCCGCGAGGACCCTGTCAGTGCAAGCACTTCTAGGAGACAAACCTTTGAGAGGCCTCTGGTTAGCGACCCAGGTACGGTGGCGGGAAGGGCCGAAGATCCGCTGCTCATGCAGCCGTTGGGGTGCTTGGCGTGCAAGACGTTCAAATTTGTTCGGCCCTCCCAAAAGGGTCCCAAGGGCCTCTGGGCCCTGCGGAAACTAGGTTATCCGTCGGCAGCCCGGCCCAAGATGACAAGAGAGTCTCCAAGAGGGCACGATTCGCCATCAAGTCTGCCCAAGATGGGCCAACATTGCCCCCAAGTGTGCTGAAGATGTCTCCGAGCGGGCCCAAGAGGCCCCCAAGACGCACCGGGAAGTGGGCACGGGATCCCCCAGGAGGGCCTCGAGAAGCATAATCAATGATTCTCCGCATGTGTGTCAGTGACTTGCGGTCCTGAAAGCGTCCGAGACGGCCAGAGAGGTCCCCACTGCCAACCCAAGACGCCCCGCAAGGGCCTCAAGAGGACTCAAAGACTGCCCTAGGACGGCCCAGGTGGACCCAAAGACGGCCAACATTGTCCCAAGACGACCCAGAGAGGCCTCCGAGGCCGCCTTCGATGGCGCCAGACTGCCAAGAGCGCCCTTAGACAGCACAAGGGGGATCCAAGATGGCCCCAGAGGCCCCCAAGAAGGCCCCCAAGAAGGCCCAAAAGGAATGAAAGAGAGACCGAAGACTGCCCAAGGACGGGTTCAAAGTGGCCCCAGGGAGCTCTTCCCAAGCGTTCCCCCTGTGGTTTCACCGACGGGGCAACACGCAATCCACGAGCGCGGCCGCACCTCCGCTCGATGGTTCAAGACACGGGCGCTTCAAAAGGGCGGCGGGTGGCGGTGACTCGCCGCAGGCGTCGTCGATACCCGCTTGTCGCCGATGTGGATTCGCACAGCAAAGGGAAGGACCGAGGGAACGAGGCAGTGGTAGGGAGAAGGGGTGGCAGGGGCGGGGCTCCACGCGTACACGAGTCAAATAGCTAGCAGCTAGGGTAGCGAGATCATCCGAAGCCACCTCGGGTGCCCGGAGCGCGCTATCTGGAGCGGTGCCTTCGCACTGAGGGGGGGGGGCTCGAGCGTGACTGCGCTGACCCAGATCGAATATATCCCTAGGACCAGGACGCGCGGAGTCGACAAAACCGAAGGAGAAAAGGAGGGACGGGGGAGAGAGTGTGGGAACGCCTTCTCGAGCCACAGACTGGAGCCCCAGGGCAGAGCCACAGACTGGAGCCTTCTCGAGCCACAGACTGGCCCATGGATGCTTCCGCTGCCTCTGGCGCAAACGGGTGCCGCATCGCGACGGCGGGGAACATGACTTGTTTTTCCCCTGCAGTCGATTCGAACAAATCGAACGGATCCGCTCCACCCACCCTCTGGGAGGCCTCACGGAGGCCCCCAGGAGGCTCCTGCTCGGACAGCCTCGCCTCCAGCTCAGAGACCTTCCGCCTCAGCTGCTCCGCCTCGCGGACGGCCGAGGGGCGATGCGGCTGGGAGAGCTCGGCCTGCAGCTCCGAGACCTGCCGCCTCAGCGACTCCGCCTCGGCTGCCGCGGCGGAGCCCGCCAACTCGCGGTGCCGCTCCGTTTCACACGCCTTGGCATCCAGCTCCCGGACCTGCTGCCTGAGCCGCTCCGCCTCTGCCTCCACGGCCGCGGCAGCGCCGGCCAAGCCTCGCTGCCGCTCCTCACGCTCCCGCAGGTCCGAGTTCTCCCGCCTCATTTGCTCCGCCGCGCGGACAGCCGACTGGAGCTCCGTGGTCGCCCGGGACAGCTCGCCCTGCAGCTCCGCGACCTGCTGCCTCAGGCGCTCTGCCTCCGCCGACGCGACGGAGACGGCCGACTGCCGATGCCGGACGACCTGGGACAGCTCCGCCTGCAGCTCCGAGACCTGCTGCGTCAGCCGCTGCTCCTGCTCCGGCAGCTTTGCCTCCAGTTCCGAGACCTGCTGCCTCAGCTGCTCCGCCTCTGCGGCCGCCGCGGAGCCAGCCAAGTCATGCTGCCGCTCCTGCGCGGAAAGCTTCGCCTCCAGCTCCAGGGCCTGGCGTCTCAGCTGCTCCGCCTCTGCAGCCGACTGACGGACGGCCAGCTGGCGCTGGCGGACAAGCTGGGACAGCTCGGCCTGTAGCTCCGAGACCTGCTGCGTCAGCTGCTGTTCTTGCTCGGACAGTTTCGCCTCCAGTTCCGAGACCTGCTGCCTCAGCTGCTGCGCCTCCTCCACCGAGGCGCGCACGGCCGACTGGCGCTGCCGCACCGTCTGGGACAGCTCGGCCTGCAGCTCCGTGACCTGCTGCCTCAGCTGCTCCACCTCGGTGCCAGCCAGCGCGCGCTGCCGCTCCTCCTCCGACAGCTTGGCCTGCAGCTCCGAGGCCCTCTGCCCCTCCTCGGCCAGCTTGGCGTGCATCTCCGAGGCCTGCTGCCTGAGCTGCTCCACCTCCGCGGCTGCGGCGGCGCTGGCCAACTCGTGCTGCCGCCCCTCCTCAAACAACCTCGCCTGCAGCTCCGAGACCTGCCGGCTCAGCTGCTCCACCTCCTCTGCCGTGGCAAAACCAATGGACTCGCGGTGGCGATCGTTGGGCAGCGTGCTGCTGCTTTCTGAAATCCGAGGGACCCCCTGAGGTCACGTACATGGGTTTGTGAGGTCACAGCTCCGCCCCAAACCCATCGCATGGCATGGCGCGCAGGAGCCGTATGCCGCATCGATTGCTGGCTCTACGATGTGGTGCGCCCGTGGCTGTCGGATGTGACTGGCACCCGTCGACACGGTCCCTCGTGAGATGGGGGCGGCCCGTGCTTCCAGGTAAAGGGTCCTCAGTCCCCCCTTCCCATGGTCCCATCCCCTTCTTGTTGCCCCCCTCCCCCCTCTCTATCACCCCCAGCTGAATACAAAAAGCCAGTAGCACGCGCTACGATATGGCGTAGCGCTGTCCTGCCGCTGACTCAGATCCAGGAGGCGTCTAAACAATACGATCCCTGTGAACAAAGTTGAAGCTATGGGGTTACCCAAGTACAGCAGCAATGCCACCGCGACACGAGTTTTTGATTCGGGCCATACAACGGGAGTTTGCGCCTCCCCCTTCCCTGGGTCGTCTGGAAGGCGCGCCTCCCCGCCGCCGCCACAGCGGTCCCAGCGTCCAAGATGGCTCCATGATAAATCAATGTTGCCGGGGTGGCGCCCAACGCAGCAACGGTCACCGCAAGATTATGCTTGCGCTCCGGTACAGTATCGATACAGCCCTCCTCAACTGCTGGAGTGCAAACGCAATGCTCTCTGCGGGCTCTCTGCGAGAGTACAACGACCATCCAATCTGAAACCACCATCCAATCTGAAACCGAAGCCATGGCCCTTATACCCTGGGACAGCGCAACACATCATCGCAACTCGCAACAATGGCGAACTAACATCGCATCGCTTTGCGACGATTGCCAAGGCGTAGCATTGCACACATTGATAACACATGGAACACGGCACAGCCCATCACATCCATGGTGTAGCATGACGCATCGTGCAAACATCACGTGCGCCGCGGAGCATTGAGATAACGAAGACGTAGACCACATCACATCGCAACGCTTCTGACATATGCCTTTCGTATACCATACAAAGCAAGCACCATACATCATACGGCCAACGCGCACCACCATACTAGCAATGAGCGAACATCCTAAGCCCCGAGGGTGTCGAATGATGTGGCGTAGGCCAGTGTGGATCTGCTGTCTCAGCTGCTCAGCCTCCCTGCCGACAGCGACAGCTACGGCAACAGCCGACTCGCGCTGCCGCTGCTCCTCCGATAGCTTGATCTGCATTTCCGACACCTGCTGCCTCAGCTGCTCCGCCTCCGAGGTAGCGGCGACACTGGCCGACTCGTGCTGTCGCCCCTCCTCGGCCAGTTTGGCCTGCATCTCCGAAACCTGCTGCCTCAACAGCTCCATCTCCGCGGCGGCGGCGGCGCTGGCCGACTCGTGCTGTCGCCTATCCGCGATCAGCTTGGCCTGCGTCTCCGAGGCCTGCAGCCTCAACTGCTCCAGCTCTTCCGCGGCGGGGCCTTTCGACCCGTGCTGCTGTCGCTCCTTCTCGAGAAGCTCCACCTGCTGCTGCAGCTGCTCCTCCAGCTCCGAGATGCGCTGATCCCGCTCCTCGGAGGCCTTGCGCAGCCAGTCGTTATCTTTTGCCAGCTCCTGACGCTGGTCCCGCGCCCTGCCGACCACCTCCTCGATGCTGTCAGCCTTGCTTCTCTCGGCAGCCAACAGCTTGTCGTTCAGCTTCAGAAGCTGGCCCCGCAATTGCCCAGACTCGGCCTCTGCCTCGACCAACTTCCCCCTCATATCGGCCACCTGGGCGTTGCACCGGTCCTTCAGCTGCTGGAACGTGTCGCGCGTGCGCTCCTTCAACCTCTCCTGCTCGCTGGCTCGCCGGTCGCGCTCCTCCTGCAGCGTCGCGACCATCTTGGCGTGCTCCTCGCGCAACTGCGCGGCCTCCTCCAGGGAGACCGCCATCGGCACTATGACACCGCCGACTGCGCGGGTGCGGCGCCCAAGGTCCCGCCCGCAAGTGGGGGTGCCCGCACGCGCGGTGGCCGCAAGGCTCCCCGCTTGAGCCTGAACAGCTTACGGCGGCGAAGGCATCTGTACGGAGCACGCATCGCTGTGATAAAAACGCGGTCTGGGTGGATGGCGACCGACAAGCGGAATAAGCGGAGTGGGCGGAGTCGAAATTACGTCGCGCGGACCCGCACACCGCTCCGTTTTCCATCAAGGGTTCGGCGGAGTAAGTTCGGATCCTGCGATGGGATCGAGTCACGATTTGGGACGAGCCGAACTAATCCGCGTGAGTGCGCGAGTCGCCTGCCCACGTTAGGAATATCCAGAGCGCGATGAGATTCCAACACCAGATCAAACCGCAAAAAATGCTGTCAACGCAAAAACAGTCATCACTGCGGACCTTGCCCCTGTAGGTCAGGTTTTTGAAACAGCTGGCTGGGGCTTAGAATTCGAAGGACGCCTGCAGCAAGGTGAACTCCAACGGGGGTGCCCGATGCCCCAGCGTCGATCGGACCCGCAAAGGTAGGGTTCGCACATGGTCGCATTGATCAGGAGGTCACTGGCCAAAATACCATTGATCAGGAGTAGGGGTTGGCACAAGGTCACACAAGATCTCGCGGCCACTGGCTGGCTGCTCGTGGAAGGTCGCAGGCCGTCCATGCTCAGCGTTTTGGCAAAGGTCCTTGCCTCCGCGCTTGCCGCGGCTGGTTTGCTGCGAGCCCTGGGCTCGGAGTGCGGATTGAGTGACCCTGACTGGGGCGCTCTGCGACTAGGATCCAAAGATAGTTGTTGTTTAGCACCGCTTACACGGACCATAACAATTAATTTGACCAGGACGCCAGCCATAGTGTTCAGTATCCCCGGCCCCTGGGCGCGGTGGCGCCAGAGGATGGCATCCAATGGCCCCAAAACGACCCAAGACCGCCCGAAGTCGTGGGAAACAGGCTCCCGGCTGGCCAGAGCGGATCGCCACACGACTGCCCCAGGACTGCCGCAAAACCACCCTTGCAGCGCCCCAAGGGCCGCCCGGCACAGCATAAAAAATTATCTTAGACCTCGAAGCGGTGTTGCCGAGGGCCTCCAAGGAGCCTTCCAGAAAGCCCAAACACTCAGCGATAACGTTAGCGCCTTAAGGAGCCAGGGTATCAAGAGGTGACGATGGAGCATCTCGAAGTCAGAATCTTCCCAGGATTATAACCCTGTGCCTGAGCAATGCGAGCTGAATCCAACCAGCTGGCATGGTAGATGCCGGCTAGAAAGTCGACGACACCCCGCAGCTGGAAGAGCGTTGCCAACACCAAGGCGTACTCACGCAACCTCCTTGCGTGTCTAGAACGTTTCATATCTGCACGGGGCGATCACCTTGGTCCTCGGAAGTGCGAGTTGGCCGCACTGGCACAGAAAGCAACAGACCAACGCCATGCACCCAGCGGATACCCAGCATGTTTGTTCAATCGCAATGTACTGATTATCGTTATCCTCCTGTTCCTTCCCCTCTAGCTTCCTGTTTGTCCTCCCTCTTGTCCCCCTCTGGCTCTTACTCTTCGGACTCCGAAGAAGTGGAGGCCTCACCCATCAACAAATTGTCCCGTCAACCTCCTCCACCTAAATGTCTCCTCCTCCTCCTCCTCCACCTGCAATCCTCCTCATCATTATCCCTCTCCTGTTCTCCTTCTAACCACTCTGCTCTTCCCTCTTCCCTCCTCTTCATTCTCGGCGGCCTGCTACCGCGCTTCCGCCAAACTCCGACGAGGTCAGACCTTCCCCACTTGCGCACAGACTCCGACCTCCACCCTCACCCTCGTCCTTTTCATCCTCCCGGCTCTTTTCCTGCTTCTCCCTTTCATGTGAGTGCATCCTCCTCCCCCTCCTTCCCCTCGCATTCCGTTGTTTGAAGGTGCGGACCCCCTGGAAAGCGGGTGCCTGATTCACGGGGGTATGCCTCCATAGACCACCGGGCCGCGGCCGTTTCCTCCTCTCTTCTTCCCCCTCCTATGCTTTCGTCGTACTTGGCTACGGACGCGTCCCAGAGTTAGCCCGACCACTTGTTGGACCCAACTGGCCGCAAACCAAAAAAGTCTCAATCAACCGCCCCAAATCCAGGGAGGCTGGTTCTCTGAACCGCCGCCCGCTCAAGGCTTCCCGATCTTGCTCCTGCTCGTGCTCCTGATCTTCTTCCACCTACACCTCGACACGGATCCTCGAACTTCCAAGCCATCGGGCGTGTTTCTACACAGGCCTCCTACGTGGGGTCTGGGAAAATAAGGTCGGAGGAGTGCGCCGCCTCGCCGATGCGGCGCGGTGTGGGCCGTGATCTTCTGCACGCCAACGTCGACGAGCGGAGCGGAGAGGGGTTTTACACAAGCACCCCGGCAAAACTGCCAGGGTACACCGATCGCCGGAGTCTGAGCTCACTCACTGGGCGTGAGAAGAAATATTACTCTCTTAAACAATGCAAAAGACGTTGATCAAGATTATCTCCGCGCCCGAACGAACGAGGAACAGCGCGGAAACCGTGCGTGAACAAAAAAACGAACGAGAAACAACGCACCCTCCCTGGACCCCGAAGGGGAGGAGGGGGGGGGCGGTCCCCCATCTGGCGTTTTCTTAATGATGTGCGCATCCCCTCAGATCTAGCCGCTACCGCCCCGAGGACCCTCCCCTCGGAACCGTCCCCGGACCCCCCCTTGGACAGCTTCAGCCCCCCCCCAGAGGGCACGTCAGCTCCAAAAAGCGTTCCGGCCGTTTTTTTTTACCTGGGAGACACAACCCGAGGGGAGGTGCCCAAGGTGCCTGCATGAATTCACATGCAGTCGGACCTCGCAACACGAACGGCGGCATGGACCCGCCCCAGGCATTATCCGCGCCGCCGTTGCGAAGTGCCTCGAGATGCCACCCCGAGACACGGCCACCGGCACCACCCCCACTTGGCCGCCGGCCTCAATCAGCGGAGGCCCCGCTGCCCAAGGACTTAAGTTCCCGCGCCCCCCACGCCGGGGGACCCCTTCGAGTAACCCCATCGGGCCTCTGAGGGGCGGTGCGGCGAGCCCGCACTTACTGTGGCTGGCCAACCACAGGGCAAGAGTCTCTCCCACAGCCCCGTCGAGCTGTGGTGACGATCGGGCTGCCAACCCGCCTGTTTTCCTGGGACGCCACGAGGGCACCCAGCGGCACAGGTGCCTATTAACAAAACGTTCCCGACGACTCCAAGAGCGCCCTCCCTCCCACACAGGGCACCTCAGCCCATCCATCTGGGGAGAAGAAAGAGGACCGGAAGAATCGAGAAGGGAGGCCACCGAGACGCGAAGATCACCGAATCCGGAGCCCCCCAGATCGGCGGCACTGGCCGGAGGCCATCACAATAGGAAACGAACGAGAAACTATGCATTTCTCCTTGCAGACCCCCTTTCCGCTCTCCACTCTCCTGGGAGCCGCACATACACATACACACATGTATATATATATATATATATATATATGTGTATATATATATATGTATGTATATGTCTACATATACACATATATGTATGCGTACACCACGGGTAGACACACTAAGGCATGCAGGCCGTCGTCCGCAATTTTGTACATACTTGGTTGAGAGGCACACGCTCGTAAATAAAGTCGAAAACATGGCCATACGTACGCGAATCAAGAATACCAGCCCCTTCGCACGCTCGTGAACATACAGCCTCTAGAAGAACCAACATGACGGATCGATTCAGAACGCACACGCACACCGCCCTTATCCAAAGTTGGCTCTTGGCAAGGCCGCTGTCGCACCCGGGGCTCCCATACAACACTGGACGGGGGAGGGGGAGGGCGCCGTTGCGAGATGATGACCTCATGACCACGCAGCCCCATGAAGACTCCGATGCCCCCATGGACACGCAGTCCTATGAAGACTTCGATGCGACCCCAAAGCGTGCCCTGAAACCCATGGCGGTTGCGCTCGGCTTTTCTTCAGGAAAGCTGGTTGCATGTCATGCGGCTGTCCTCGGTGCCCCCCTCCACGCCCCGTCCACCCAAGTGCGTACAGGCCACGTGGGTACCTCTCGAAACAAAACGGAACGATTTTCCCATTGGTGCGTATCCCGCGGGAATGGTGCATTCTCCGTCGGGGCGGTTTGCTATCCGTCGGAGTGATGCATTTTCAGTCGGGATGGTGCGTTTTCCGCTTGGCCTGGGGACTCACAGCACACCGACTTACCCACTGCGAGAAATATTCACCTTGAGCATTGACGACTAGGGCGTCACCGAGCGGGGGCCCCCTTCCCCCCGTTGGCTCCTAGTACGACGGCCTCCAGCCTGGCTGGGCGGGAGAGGTTTCAAGTTTTATCCCTGATGTACTAGTAGTGCGCAACCAATCCATGATACAATCTCTTTCCTACATAAATTCACAGGGGGATGGCACTCCCGGCCTCATCCATGCCACTGTGAACATCTCCGCGCATGAAATCATCACGAAACAATCACTCCCAGACTACTTCTGAACACAGCGCCCGAACGTGACAATTATAGCCAAGGTGCATGAACTTGCGTAATGGGGATGTATTGGAAACTTGTAGGTCATTGTAGGTGCCAGGAGGACTTGGGATGACCCCCGCCTCCCCTCCCCCTGCCCTCCTCCTCCGCCTCGCATGGGGCCCTGGCAAACCGTATATACGGCTTGCCTCGCCGCGCTTCTCTGGCACCGGGGAGTGGAGTGGGGGGATGCAGCACGAACGCGGCCACAAAAACGTGGGTTGACCAAACGAGCCCTTTCGCCGAAGGCCCAGGGCCCAACGGAGATTCACACGGTAAAGAGCGTTCCAAGGTGGAGCGCCCAAGCACAAGTACGAATGATACGTAACACCCCGCAGTTGGAGATAAGAATGGTGGGGGCGGCGAAGGCGTCGACACTCTGCGAGGCACTGAAGAAGCCCGCCGCCGGCGCCCAACTTTTAGAAAGTATGCAA